ATGTTCTTAAGAACATATTTAATAGCTACTGCATTATAGAACTAAAAATGAAAGGCAAATATGCACCTAGTCATGAAAGGCAATCGATCTCTAAACTTAAAAACGTGTTGGGCTGGACATTGATTTCATATCATTGAAGAGTAAATAAAGGGAAACGTCCATCAAAGGTAAACAGAATTCCTGTATTTTAAGTTCTATGACTATGGCTGGACATTCCAATTCTTTGCTTATGCTGTCTTCAAACAAAACTAGAAAAAAATGATTTGCCTTAAATGTCGAATGAACTTTCACTAAGAGAAGGCATCAAGATTCAGAAGTGATATTTATGCCTCAAAGATACCAATTATTTTGTAGAGAGCATGTTAGTCTCTTTAATGAGTAAGGAGAATTCTACACTTAAAAAAGCCAAAACTCAAACCATATGAGAAGGGAGTTATAAAAGATTTGAGTACAACAACCCCCAAAAACAGCAATAACAAAATACAAAATGAAAAAAATACAGATCAACAGGCAGACCAAAATGAAATGGACAATCGCAGTAAATATAGACACCTTTTAAAAGAGTAAATGAGACTGGTGTTACAGTTGTCTAGGAGATGCAGATTCAGCCATTTTCAACTTGTACGGAATGACCAAAAGGGTATTTTTCACTTCTCACTGATGCAAGAGGGCCAGCCCATACAGTCCGCACTCGGACAGGATGAGGGGTAAATCATACAGTACTAGCAATTAAATCAAAGACGGCTCAAATTAATAAATAAAACTGACGCCTGGAGAGTATTAGGGGCCACATTTCGCTAAGTTTTTACTATTGCTGCCATTACTGTAGTTATAAAACATGAAGAAGGGGCATGCAAATTATAATTGTCATTAGTTTGCGACAAATGATGTGGGGGGGTGCAAGGAGGACAGCCCTCTTGATAATGAGGTGAATTGTTTAAATTGTTTTCCTGCTTCTATATCATCACAAAGTTGGGTTCCCATAGCAGTATTTGGACGTCATAACTTAAAGCAGTATGAAAGTTGGAGATACCTCTGCTGTTGGGGTCCGCTCCAAAATCCAGAAGCAGTAGCACACAATTCTCGTTTCCTTTTGATGCAGCTATATGCTGAGTACAAAAAAAGGATGTAGAATGAACAAAAAGACAGAATTGCATTCTAGAAATAATTTTTAAGGAGTCAAATGAGAGTAGTATATATATACACACCAGGGCAGTTCTCCCATCGTTGTCAGATTCATTTGGATCTAGACCAAATGAGTGGCCAGAGAAACGGAAGGCAGGGGGGAGACGGTGGTGGGAAAGGGTTGCAGGTGGAAGCGATGGTGGAGAGCAGAGCACCTGCGGCTGAGGAAAAATGGTGAGTTAGATAGAAAGAGAGGGGTGCCGATACCCTTGACCCGATTTTAATTTTTGATCCATATTAGATCCGCGTTTGGACCCGTTTAATTGTGGAATTGGAATTAGAATTCTTTTGATCTGGTAAAGAATTCAATTCATGGAATTGGAACCTCTTGGAATTAGAATTCAATGCTAATTCTATGGAAAATGCAGCATCCAAACACAAGAATTAGAATTGGGGTTCCAATTCCAATTCTAAATCCCAATTCTATGGGTACCAAACATACCCTAAGATTTAAATTCATTAACTTTAAATGTTGAATTGAATTATCAAATAGGACCTAAAACTCCTACTCTAATTATCCATCCTCCCACCCAAAAGTGAAAAAAAAAAATTCCAAAAACTTGCTTTAGTTTGGCATCAGCTATCATTTTTTAAACCCTCTTGCCCCTCTCCGCATCCTTCCCACCCCGCTATCATTCCATGCCTAAATAAAGATTTAGCAAATCCTAATAATTAAAATTAATTAGGGAGTCAAACGTACAAAATACAAAGATCTTGCAAGAACGTGTACTTTTACCCGCAGAATATATGTGTACTTTCTAATTAGTATACCTTTTAATATCAGTATTTATCGTGTTTTTTGTTCTAGCTTTTAGAGGAGGATAATTGCTTAAACACTTCAGCAATCTTAAGGCAATCTCTGAAGTTTTGGGATACTTCGGTGATTTAAATTTTGAACTTTTGAAGTTTTACAATCTAGCAATAAAAAAATAAATCCCCCAACTCATATCCATTTTTACTCTTAAAAAAATGGGATCTGATTTTTTTTTTTCACTTATAAAAATGATCACACATGGGTCGAAAGGTGAATTCGGACTAAGAAGTGATCAGAATTGAAAAATGATCACACATATTTGTAAGGTATGTAAAATCATTATTTTAAAAACAAGGAATTGAAAATTTTACTTGTCAATATGTGAAAAATGTCTTGAACGATTTTCACAAATATTTATACCAGCATCTTGGCCAACGGCCACCCATGAAGTTCTCCACCTTGCCTTGGTGGTTGGTGCTTCCAAACCAGGCCCTTGAAGCTAAAGGTCACCCTTAAAACCGTTCAAAAGGCTTTAGATTACTAATTACAGAGCATGCAATCTTGATTCTTGAATGCAAGATCACCGATGCAATCGGAAGAGTGCTTAAACCAAAAACCAACAAGAGAAGTGATATACTAAGCTAGACAGCCACGAGGATTAGCATCTCTGTAATTGCACATCCTTCAAAAGAAAAAGATGCCTGGCGATGTAGATTGAGAAAACAAACTTGTTAACAAGAACATCAATAATGTACATATTTCATTTCACTTCAGAGAATTAATGGAAAGCAAGAAATCACAAAAGCAGTGTCAACGTTGGATGGCACTAGGATTTAGCACAAGGGAAATATCTGGGGACGAAGGAAGGGTAAAGACCAGTGATAACCCTCTACCAACCGCCCGTTGGTGGCCATCTCCATGATTAGCTTATGCAGCGCGCGGAAGGGGCTTAACACCACCCTCCAATGCACCACCTGCCGCGAACCAAGGCAGAACCCTCTACGCTTACTCCCTAACCGGATGCTGCTGCCCTTGCGCCTTCTTTGCCCTCGGCGTGTCCGGCACCAGCCTACCACCACCGCGGAGTTGGAAAATAAAGAAATGGTTATGCCACCTCTCCTAATTAGCATTCTGAGGATGTTGCTGCTGTTCTTTTGGCTAAAGTGCCATGGGACAAACTTTTGCAGAGGAGTTAAATATATATAGTATCAACTATCAAGTAAAGCTGATGGATCGTGAAGTTAGTTGATGATGAATGTCATTATGATTGTAATTATGACTATCATATTCTTTCTGCGGTGATGCTAATGGTCGAATATAATAATGGTTCAAAAGCAGGAATTTTTCCTTTTGCCATCTTTAGAGTTGTGGGTGTAATGATTAGGCAACGGGTGCTTTTGCTTAATAACTGTTTTAGGATGAATTAAAATATCACATTAGAAATTTTTGCACCTAGCTACGTGTTCCCATAAACACCAAAGAAGACTTGACAAAACCTATTAGCAATATGCATGATAGAGCTGGTTGCCTTTCTCTTCATCTTTTTATGCAGAGCCCTAGTTAGATTTGCAAATAGCATCGAAGATGGAGTGAAAATGGAAGAGATTTATGGTGGGACAATTTCAATAATCCTTTTTGTTTGAATAATAATCATAAATAGAGCAGCTGGTAGCCAATGGCAAAGTCATCAGGACCATGCAGGGAGAGCACCGCCATTTGTAGCACTAAGTGAGATGATCGCAATACTTGTATTGATTTGATTGATCGCAATTACTGATAGTGTTAACAAAGATAACAAGATAAAATATAGTGTAAATTAATGATAATGTATCATTTTATTTTAATTGAAATATCTTGGCACGTTTCGACCACTTTTAGTACTTTGTCATTGATTTGTAAGTTCTCCATGCCGTTAATTTTGTTAACATTATGATTGATTAAATTTAAATGGAACAAATTTAAGAGTTTACGGTGCAAAGTGTTCAAAATTAAGAGTTTTTGAATATTGGGATGGCCATTTTTCCAGATATGTGTTTTTGAATAATTTCAAATAAGTTCTTAATTCTCTGCTTATTTCACACACACGTTTACTGAATAATGCACTATAGTGAAATTATCTTTAAAATACACCAAAAAGCTAGTGGGTTTACATTTTATTTACTAATAATAAAATCTAGGAAAATGTTTCGTACTGGAAAATGAATTTAGACAGACTAGTGCAAGTAACTGTGGAATCAAAATTTCGGCCCACTACTTTATAAGAAATAACCCAAATAAGATATTTCTCCCTCGACAAAAAGAGTAAAATAAAAGAATTAATCTTTTCTATACTTACAATGCACATACTGCCAGTCTTGATTAAATGAAGTATTATGAGTTCAACGATAATAATACAGTATATGAAAGATTTACTCAAAATAAAATATTTACTGCATTGAGAGGCCCAATCCATATGCCAGTGCCTCTCGTCATCATTCAAAGCCCACCATGAGTACTGTAGCCCCTCCCTAGGTGTTTATAGTTTACGAAGTTAAATAATTAGAATGGCATCGCCCCTTTAACCTTTCTGGACGTATTCTAGTAGTAGTTTGCACGTTGTCTCCAAGTAGAGATACATTTTCAGCATTCTCTCCTTCTCTGCTTGCTTATTTGAGTTTTCCAACTCCAGCCAGAGAAGCAAACAAGTTCAGCCACCATCAAGCCAATGAACCTTGCATAATTTATACTTTAATCATGTGGATAAAGTAGAATGTTTCCATGTTTGTCGGTAACGTTGTTTTTCAGCCAAGAATCAAACCGACCGTAGAAGAATGCCGCATGTATAAGCTGCCGGGGAACCATCCCCACCGCACGAATTCAACAAATTTATCCAAACGCATTACATTGGCATTTTGTTTTCTTTTTTCGTACTCCCTTCATCCCAAATTCTTTATCGCTGGAATTCCATTCCATCCCGTTAAGAATAGTGGCTTAATTATTAATGATCGTGGAAAACAAGAAAGGAAACCAGTGTAACCTTTTTCTTATCTTTTGATAGAGGAAATTCAAATACTACGCCAACTTGAGGTTGAGGGGAAACAAATAATATAAAAGAAATAGAGAAACCACAATTTGCAGCTAGCATTGATTAATGCTGCCGGACTGTGAGACATTCATGTCTTATGCATCTGTTCAGAGTTGCCCAGAAAGAGGGATTCTGTTCGACTGCCAAAGCAGTCACAAAATCTCCCAGAAATTAATGCCAAAATAAACACCATCCGTCCCAGAAAAGCCACACTCCAATTAAAACTAATAAGCCTAGAAAAAAGTCTATTTCCTGTACTGCAAAAACTGCCATAAAAACCTGCACGCAGGACCCAATACTTTCCATTGGAAAGCAAACCAACAACTGGCCACCCCCAACCCCCCAGCCTTTTTTTTTGGGGTATGTGTGATATGAAACAGCTGGTCTTCTTCCCTTCTCTCTCTTTTTTTTTTTTTTGGTAGAAAATCAACTGATCTTCTTGATTCTTGATAGTAGTAACTAGTAAATCCCGCAGAATGACAGGAACAAGTTGTAGTATTACTAGTTTACAACTCCTGCTTCTTAGAGCCACCGTCAACATTCACCGGATATTTGAGGGCATTAAGTTCCACTTTCCTAAGGGCGGCTTTACCAAGGTCAACCCCACAGACATCTGAGAGTCTAACGAGGTAGAGTAACACGTCTGAAAGCTCCTCCCCCAGGTGTTGTTTCTCTTCATCTTTCCAGTTTGGTAGTCCCTTTGGCACCTCTCCTTTCCACTGGAATATCTCAGAAAGTTCCCCCATTTCTCCAACCTGTTTCACAGTAACAACAAAATCAAGGTTACCGCTGTTCTGACTTTGTCATATTCCTGTGTTGTCTTGGCCAAAAAACCAAAAGCAAAAGCAAGTAATGGAGTTGGGTTTTCAGGATTTGGATCAAAAAGAGAAAAAATGGATGTTCTATTTACATGTTGCTCCTCCGATGCCATGTTTTCAGCTCAGCAATATGTAAAGATGAAAAGAATTGAAAGCTAAGTTTTGTACTAGAGACAAGTCACAAAGATGTATTGAACGGGACTCTCGATTCGAGTAATTACCAAAGCCAGGAGAAGATTTCTGGGGCTGTGGAAACGTTCCCAATCTCTTTCCCTAGCAAAGTCGTCCATTTTCTTCGTGAGAAGATCAAGAGTCACCCGCTCCCCTCCTTCCTTAAGCCCTGTCATCTGTGTTTTACCCTGATACCAGCACCAAAAACACACTTCAGGAAAGACTGCTACACAAATGCAAGTGCTGCTGGGTAGTTCAATATATATATATATAAGCAAAACCAGCCAAGCATACAACGGTCTAAAGTGGATTTCTCCCAGAATAAATATATGAAAATCATTTTTGTTTTCTTTCAAGAGGGCAAAAATATATATTGAAAATCATTTAATGCATTTAAAATTTGGGACACTGAGTCATGGTTTTATTACATCGAAAACGATATTGTATGATTAAGATACGTAATGTATTATTAGTTGCTGGTGTATTATTTTGAATCACATATGAGTAGACTGTAGAGTAAGGAAATGTGGGTATTTTGAGGCAATTAGATAGGAGGGGATCAGTATCACCCTAAAGATAGATAGATACTACGTACCATTGTGTGGTGTATATTGAACATTTAATAGTTTTCAGTGCTTCCAATCAATGGACAGACATTAATCACTAAAATCTGTGTCATTAGTTAATGGTGTAGATGCGGTTAATTTGGGATGCGACGAATGAGAGAGATTAATTGTGACATAAATTTTCCAATAAGCAACGAATTTTATTGTATTTTTATACGCCCATTGTCTTAGCATTTATTTTTATACGAAATTGGTTGCATTTTTAATTGCCTTAGCCTTCGTTTTTAATTACTATCTATATTTGTTTTTCCGTATTAGAGCATAGGTGGTATGGTGCAGCTAATCTGCCAGGTCATACTGGGCTGACATTCCTTGTTGGACGAGGAACAGATGTCAATGAATGAATGGATACTGGACTTGGCACCCGGGAGGGAAGCCTCGTGCACGCAACGCATGGACCCATTTGGCCTTCTCGGCTGCCTTCTTCTTTTTTCAGCAAACGGGCTAACATTTTTAATGTTAATATAAACTTGATAACACTACAAGTAAGAGCAAGTGCCCCAATATATATATATATATATATATATATATATATATATATATCATCTTCTGCACTCTTTTTGGGCAGCTTTTAGAATTTCTCTCTTCCAGCTTTTAGAATTTTGAACGTTGCCTCGTTCTCATATTTTATGTTAGTTTATATATATATAAAAGAATAGATGATTAATCTCATTCCAAAGTGAGCGCTAATAACAGGAAGTATATCAAATTAAACATGACACAAATGCATAGAGATTTGAAATCAAATGACACAACAGATCTAAAAATAATAAAAATGATGATAATATTGAAACCCCAGAAGAGGAATATCATTATAATTCGATAAATCTATGTGCATATGTAAAGAGGAACTTAGATCTGACATAATATGTGTGGGAAATTCTGATTAAATCTACTAAATTTCTCAAATCTCACAAAAAAAGGCGAAAAAGCAAAAAAAAAAAAAATCCTCTCACAAAGATATCCTAGCAAAAAATAAAATTCCCACTAAAAAAATCAAGAGGAGAGAATATTTCACTAGGAAATCTTAAGAAAAATTTATTCAAAACAAAAGAAATAAAACCTAAAAGAGAAGGCTTCCTAAGACCAAATTGTATGATCCATCTTCCACGAGAGACCTAAATGGGATTTTGATCGGAAGAATTTTAGAGAAAAAAGATTAAAAAAAAAAAGAGAGTTTTAAAGGGAGGAGGAGGATGGGCATGAAATAGCATATGATAGAATTCAAGTCTTCATATTAATAACCCCGAGTTTGCATTTGGATGTGCTAAAGCGCTTTTCTTGCATTTCGAACTCGCAGTTGCAATGATTCGAAAAACATTCCGTACAAAGGACAATATTATTGGATTTATTAAAATTAAGATCTTAAAGATACCCCAAATTCTGTTTAAACAATTCAAAAACTCAAGAAAGCCCAAATTCAAGAATCATTTCTTCAGCTAATCCGTATCCCGCAGATTATGTGCCAGTACTGACGCAAACAAGTACTCAACACCAGGATATCTTGAGAAAAATGAGTATTCGAATTTTGTCAATCGTAAACTCCGAGATAAACAAGTCCTCTGGGCTCTAATTGGGTGGAAACATGAAACGACATACATTTTCCTTTTTTCGGTAGATCCCAATTTCTGATTTCCAAAAAGATACTTCAGAAATTTCTCCAGTGGATGTCATGTTTGGTCCAAAACGGGATTCTTGATTGATGGAAGATTCTGTCAATTGTCACGGTCGGGATTAAGCCTTAAGGAAGGGGGGATTCTTTACGGCGGGCCGACACTCCCTTATGCTTTGGTTATCGGTACAGACGAAAACTTTGTCGATAATGGATTGAAATTCTGATGGATAACAAATCAGTTTGACGCAACATTTATCGGAAAAATTGTTTTAAGAAATTGCCCAAAATCCAAATGTTGCTTTCGCCTGGTTAACTTCAAATTAGAAACAGCAAGTTATTTCTATCAACTACGCTAAAACAAACAATTATGCAACCAGAAATTAAAGTTTTAAAGAAATCTAAGCCAGAAACTATTGTTTCTAACGTCCGACTGGGACTGCATTTTCACTATAGCTGGTTCGACTGATCAGATCACTCAACACGAAAAGCAGCAGTAAAAAAAAAAAGAAGAATAAATGAAATTAGGATAATACGATCTCATAACATTAACATCCAATAAACACTTAAGTTTGAATCTGTTATAATTGGTATAGTCAAAATTAGTGGAGTAATTTAAGTCCGAATGGTCTCGTTTTCTGGTATAATCCACACAGATATCCACATCCATTTTACGATTTACGACTAATTCTATTCGAACTGCATCGGCCCTTACAGAAAAGCTCTCCGATACGATATATTTATTTTTTCCATTCTCATGGGTTTCAAATCCTAAGGCCTCGTGCATCATGTTTTCTTTTGTTTTGCTCTGGAAAAGCCTGCTTGTTACAAATTTGGTTCGGTTCTTGCTTAAATGGACCACACAAGAATAGGAGACAATAATAATGTTTTCAACCCTGTGGACACCTGGATCCAATGTTTTCACTGGGTAACAGTTGCACCCATTTTTGCATTTATGTTTACTTCCTCCGATCCATATTAGTACATGGAAGATTTAAGATGGAAAAGGACACTGGCTTTCTGCCTTGTCTATTTGAGTCTTTTATTGCCCTCGGGCCAAATTTGGTGATCAGGCAAATTGCATAATACTTACTATATGGCACTATTAATTTCTAATCAGACCACAATTAGGCAATGAGTTTGGCATGGCTAGGTTGGCCTTTTCATTTCTGTACTTCAAGAAAGTTTTTCCTCCACCATGATTACATATTTGCAATCTTTTTTCCTCATCTTTTTTTTTTTTTTTTACATATAAAATCGTTTTGATGGGGGGTGGAGGGAAGCTAATATCCAAATCCTAATTGAATCCACCTAGCCAATTGGTTCGAATATAGTAGTAACATCTTGCTACAAGATTTTGCGCATGTGACCATTGGTGACAAATGCATATTTTTGGGGGCCACTTTCATGTGCTACGTGCAGTTGCCCTCCTTTGTATTTTGTAGCCCTCAACTCAACGTGCGAGCCAAAACCCAGAGGACCCTGGATCCCTATTTTATACGAGCCCAAGAAATTTTATGAGTCCAGCTTTTGTGCATGAAATTAGAACAATCATTTGCATGTGTTACTGCTTTAAAGGACTCTTCCTTCGAATCTTTTCAGAAATCCGCATAGAAATTTGCGACTTCAGAGACTACTGATTTACGAAATCTTAACGTCAAGCGTGCAAGTGTTGCTGCAACTAGGCAAATTTTTAGTACCACTCTTTCCTTTTTGGACATCCGTCTAGACTAAACTGGAAACCAGTCTTTCTAACATAGCGAAACCATCATGTCGATAAAAAGTTCAAAAATTTGCCTCTCTTGTATCCTGTTCTCGGATTTCAGTCCTCTGCTGCTGTGATTTACAGGACAGCAGATGATGAAGAAAGGTATAAAAGAGATGAAATTAGGATTTAGACGGAAAAAGAAAAATATAGTACATGGGATGAGATGAGATGGACTGTTGGATCCCAAAACACGAATCTTAGTTCCAAATCCAGAAGATCGACACCAATTTGGATGTTGAACGTTGAAAATGGGGAAAGCCTTTCTTATGATTAATTACAGGGAATATTTCCATAGAATTGAAGCAAAATTCCAGTGCCCAACTTAGAGGGTACCCTCGCTCTAGTACAAAGATTACCTATGGCAAACACATTTGTAGTGGTATGCACTGTGGATTGGGTCGTTCCCCTCCACTGGAACTTGCTCAGCACTACACTTGTACTTGCACCCTCTGCATTCGTTGTACGTGCAGGTTGGCGCCACCGATCCTATCATCAATCTTTTTGAATTCTTGTACATCCTTCCTTTGCCACCAGTCTAAAAATTCGCACAATTTTTGTTGGTAGAAATAGTCAGTGAAACGACATAGACACAAATTAAACTGGTAAATCCACATTGCTAATTTACGTAGAAATGCTTGTCTGCTGCACCTGAAACTGCAATTCCTGTTGGGAAGAAGACATTTGGGTGGCCTTCAAATGATTAGAGCGAGCCAATATTGGAGTTCTTGACCCTGCTACACCTGTAACTGTAAGCCATCAATTAGTATGTAGCACAAAGTAAAGAGGATTGATTAACATTTACTACGCGAACGCCAAATAAATCATAGTAATTCTATGCTGTGTGACAAGAGAAGTGCTGTGTATTGAAATTTGAAGATAATTAACCTTGCAGGACTAGTAGTAGTTCTGTACAGAACAGAATGATGAGGAGCAACAGCAAGGAGGGATACTTAGTCTTTGCCATTCTGGGTTTGCTGCATAAACAAGTTCGATGGAGGAATGGTTCTGAATATACTAATGGGATATGACTGTGGGAAGGAGAAAGGAAGAGATAGAAATGGGAAGGATTGAGGGTTGTGGTTGAGCAAGGACCATAAGAGATAGGCTGGCTAAATATTCAGTACTCGAAAGGGGAGCACACATAGGAGGTCCCCAACTGACAAAGTTCCCATCAAAGGGCTCGTGTAGTACTATACCTAGAATGTGTCTAATGGTTACAAAATTACCCAACACTCGTCCCAGAAAATTTATAATGGGGCTCTGATTCTTTTCAGAGGTTAAAAGTTCAAGGGTTGATTTGAGTTTTGTGGTGCGCTGACGTGTGTGTAGTCTGTATTTGCGGGGGAGGGGTCGCACATATCTTTGCCTACCAGCATTAAGGCCTTCCACACCCAGGCAGGCCAACACGATTGCGTCCTGTCTTCTGCGAAGACTGAAAACTCATACTTGCTACCTAGTAGAAGAATCAAGAATGTGGAACTATTTGCGTTAGACAAGACA